TTTCAAGATGGCGGACACACATTGTTCTCCGAAACTCCTGATGCAAACGGCGATACACGATCTTCAATACTGATTTACCTTGATATAAATAGCTGGACCGTTGTAATCATCTTTGTAAGCCAAAAAACGCTTCTTGCTAGAGTCACATATGATGATCAAGTCACTTGATTCATTATCAGCGAATGTTGCATAACTGAGAGTTACTGAAAGTTAAATAATTCACATAGTTAACTCTAGAAATCGTGATAYATGAAGATGTGATCTTTTCTCGATAGTCGTATTCGAACGAGCCGCCATTTTGGATTTCATATTGTAATGCAAATTAGCCATAATGTCTTCAGACAAAAATCAAAAATTCCTTAACTGAATCATTCAGCAGTGTTCATCAGGATAGACTTAATAAATTAAAAAAGGAAGCTGCTCGCCTTTAAAGCTAGGGGTTTATACTCAATTTTCTCACAGACGCATTGCTTTTCGACAATCAACTACCGGCTTCGTTATTTATTTTACATACTATTATTATCGCCTTGACATGCATTCGCAGTGATTCGATCGCCTTTGATCTTTAGGTAATGCCCTCTTAGGTGATTATTTTGATAGGTGTGTATTATCAAACAAGGTTGCCAGTTCGGTATTTCTTGATCGCTCTCGTAGGTGACACTTGGGAAATCTTGCAGACTCTAGAATTTCACACACACAMAAAAAAATTAGAATTAAAATTTAAATAGATTAATAGACTTGRTGTGTTTGTTSTGCCAAGCATGKAGRGAWRGCCTTATGAACTGAGTGCAATTCAAGTTTTTATCCAGGGACGGGCCATTAGAGTTTTGAGGGGAGGGGGGAAGGGGGCTGTTCACCTGCATTTTTGTGCCCTCAGAAAGGTTTGAAAACATAATAAACAGYAGACATTGTTGCCCGGAACACAACCAAACGAAAATGTCCAAATTTAAAACGAATACTGCCAGTTCTCTTGAAAAGGTGACCGTTTGGTATGTAATGCCCCCCAATGAAAATCCTGGACACGCTCATGGTGTTTATTTAGTGAAGAATGGCAAGGCACTTTTTGAAATTCTATGGCCCGACATTAGAGAATGTTCCACTTGCAGAAACTGAATATACATGCGACAACCTGACTAATTGAAAATGTCGGCTGAATGTGCATCTTTTAAATCCTTTTGAACAAAAAAAAAACAGAAGCGAAATAACTATAACGAAAAAATCATGACTTACAAATAAATGTAATTTGTTGTCTGAGTCAATCATATACTTAATATACTTAATAGAGGCCGAGACTATCAAACTATGAGTCAATTAATCATAAACTAATGTTATTGTTTCCTTTAGAAGTATCGACCGTTCATTAGAATATGCATTAGACTATAATTTAAAGTTATAAGTACACATTCTTAGGTAAAAAAAAATCCCTTACCGATGCCATAATTCGCGGTCTTGCTATACCTCCAATGTGCAACGATATYTCTAGTGAAATGGTTACTTTTAGGCACGTTTCAGCTAATGAAATGCACTTCTATGCATTTAGGTTTTGACATGTTATTCTTAACTTTCTTATGTAAGAATTTCACTTTCAAATTTCGACMTGACAAGTTCCCATTTCCTTGCGCGGTTCTCTGGGACAAAAGGGTAATTTCGATTTCAGTGAACTTCTCCCCACTCCCGTTTGGTCTTGTGTCTGAAAAATGCCTTGGTGAAATCAAGTTTTCATGATGTTGTTAATGTTGGCTAGTCTTCATCTTGGGAAGACAGCCGATAAAATTTACATTTACGACGGGAAAACTCGATACATACTTTCCTTTTTTTTCTAGTTTTTTTTCAGTCAAGTTTCCGTAACGGATGTCAGAGGATTTGCACAATTTCAATGGAAATTTCCGGAAAACTGAATTAGCGAATCTTTAGAGGTTTTCCTTTTTTATAAATACATATACATTTTTGTATTTTTTCTTTAGTTGGCGCCCTTTATTTTAGAGTGGGGTTTAGCACCGTCAAAGTACATAGTAACCTGCACTGTCATTGTTGCTGGCATGGGTGACGAGGAGGCTTATTTTGTAAATCCATTCATAATACATCACAAAGGAAGAGATAAAGATGCTCCGGGTAACCCCTTGTCAAAGCCAGCGAATCAAGTACAACAACAACAACAACAACAATTTTATTAATGATTTCACAATAAAAAATTACAAAAATCCTTTGCCTTCGCAATTACTTAAGACTATTCGGGGCGAGGGCGAAAGGGTAATCGAAAAAACGAAAATATTTATAACGATTTTAAAAATATTGTATTTATATTATAGAAAGAGAAAGAGAAAACTGAAAAAAGACAGGAAATGCTCTCAAAAATAAACAAAATAAAAATACATGTATAGATTGTACGAGAAAAAAGCCGACAGAGCACCCCAGATTATATTCAGAACATCAACGGGGGAGAGACCTGACTTAGGACAAGGGGAGTGCCTAAAAAACAACAACAACAACAAAAATAAAATAAATAGAATTAGAGCAGCAGAAAATAAAATCCATTTCAGCTGAACGCTGCTTTAACTGTTTTTCAGAATAACCCGTTTACTTAAGAGAGACTAAACCACAGTTCGCTTTCACTATCGTAWGTTCTCTTTATAATTTCTGCTTTGGAATTCCCAAGGATTTCCACCGCGCGCGTAATGGAAGTGACTGCTCATTGGCCACACATGCACACTGAAAAACGYTTTGACCAAATCAGGATTCGACTAATCACTCCCTCGAGGGTGCTCACAGAATGGGTTAAAATTTTTCACTGTTCTTCTTATTCTTAATATGCTTTTTTTACTTCTACTTCTTCTTTGTTGTTTATTAATATCATAAACGTACTTTTAACAATTTGCAAAAATAAATTTTTACAATTTTCATTGTCAAAATATGTGCTCCAGCTTCAGGAATCACGCATTCGATGATGTGATGGACATGCTAAGCACRAGGGGTTCTAGCCTGAGAGAGTTTGGGCCCGAGTCCGGAGAAACCTTCTCGATACCCTAAGGCTAATATCATACTAACATCGTTACTGCGTGACATGTGATATTTTACATCCATTCAAAACGCTGATTAAAAATTGACAGAGGCTTATAATACCCTGCTGTTAATCAGGTTTATAGCATCACGCTATTATATGTAAATCAACGTACATCAGGTGCCTTATGTTACATAGTTCGTAGTGCCATGAGGAGCCAAATAGGTGGAAGAGCGACTTTTTTCTCACTCTGTGCTGTGTTGACCGTTATATTTCATAATGCCTTGGCCAAGGACCCYACACCTAGGTGAGTATATTAAAAACCAACTCATACGAACTTCAAGTCTCACACTTCTGATAATTTCCCAGGGTTCGAGCCGGATAATTCTCACTGACCCCAACTGACTAGKTGTGGATGTTCTACGGGTCGCTGCTTGACTGTAGTGTGTAGCCTGTCCGTAGTGTTTTTTTCGTCCTAGCTGATCGAATTGGAATCCATGATTAATATCGATATGTAGGTACAGGAGTAATCTAGTGTTTGCTTTCTAAACAAACAAAATGGCCGGCCTGAAGAGTACCGAACTCCGTACTGAACTTAAGGACCCTTAAGGTGTTTTGAAATTCCGATCAAACTGCACTTAAGGGACTTTAACCCGAACTGAACTAAATGAACGCCAGGGTCAAACTGAAAATGAAAGGTTGATTAATTCAAAACCAATTCACTCACATTGTTTGGACAACCATGCAATAGTTCAATATATCGTTCTTTTGGTTGGTGTGCGATTTTATGGCTGTTTGAACAAGTGATTATCGTTTAGAAGGGACTCTTTGATAAAATAGYAGGATTTCGTGCATCATTCTAGTTATTTGAAACGATCCTTGAATATTGCGTGACACAATCCTTAAATAATGCGTGACATATGTTTTGGCAACAAACATCATTTGCATGCATAATTTATCAATCTCGCTGCTTTCGGGACACGATACAGGTGTGGCAAGAAAAATTATTATTATATTTTGGGGATATTTCGCTTTCTCCATTCGGTTCGAGGCATTTTATTCAGAGAAAACTTCACTTTCATTGAAAAGAGTGGATAACATATTTGTGGTGGCGCTGTCGGACAAACAGATAGAAAGTGTTCTTTGGTCTTTGTTGAAGTTTTGGTGTGCGTTGCCCCTACACCCGACCCACCCCACCCCACACCGGGACATTATAACAGCATTTATGCTTAGTTCTTTTTTCAATAGCGCTGCAGACAGCAAGAAACAAGTCATTGTCGTATCTCTCCCTGGTGAAGTTGATATCCTGTATCTCAACCACTTACAATCCATTGCTGACTTCATAATAGAAATGGACGATAAAACAAAAAAATAGAGATCACTTTTTTGTAGTCCACGACAAGTCAGCATTCAAATACTTCAAGAACCATAAATTCGTCAATGCCCACCTCATCGAAGTCCCAGTTTTCCAAGCCATGGACATGTGGATGAGAGATTTCCCGCCCTGTATGCCTAAACAACAGGTCAAATTCAAATACAAGCCTCAGTATCTTTCAGCAAGCGTAGCTGAAACCGACGAAAGTAATTTTTTCAAATTTGCGCAAAGAGTCAAATTACCTGAGTTAACGAAAAGTAAGCTTGTGCTCGAAGGAGGTAACATCGTGGACAATGGCTACGACATGGCGATAACAACAGAAAGACCATACAAAGACAACCCAGCTATGACCAAGGAGGATGTGGTTAAAACCTTGGAAAAGGATATCAAAAGGAAAGTTGCAGTCATTCCYGAYCCTGAAGACACCACAGGSCATGCGGATGGTGTTGTTTCSTTCGTTGAGAAAAATGTTCTTCTGATTKCGCTCTTTGACGACGCCGACGGAAAAGACTTCTACGACGATATGGAAAAAGCTGTCCTGAAAGCATTTCCTAATCTGAAAACTGTCCCCCTTCCATGCTATTCCAAGCAAAACAAGTCCCAAGGGTTCACATCGGCTGAAGGATCTTATGCCAACTCTCTCGTGACAAACAATGCTGTATATCTCCCGTTCTTTTCTAACCAGACAAGCAACCAAAGAGCCTTTGATGCTTTCAAGAATAATACTAATAAAGAGGTTGTCCCAGTGTACAGTACAAGCAAAGTTCCTGTCCTGGGAGGAAGTCTTCGTTGTATGACGTGGCAGATTGACCAGGAACACCCAGTGGCCAAAGCTCTGTTTGAATATGTAAGGAAAGCAAATGGAGGTCCCTGTACATGTAGACCAACTTCGTTAGTTTTGGTTTTACTTTGCGTATTTTGTCTTGTCCAAAAGATCTGGATGTAAATGGAGATATTCTTAACCTTATTCTCAAGGTTCAGTACAGGCAATGTTAATATATGTTAATGTTAATGTTATAAGGCAATGTTAAGGCAATGTTAATGTTATAAGGCTCGCGGTACAGGAATGTATGCAACACACCGGGCCACTGAGAGGTGCATTTACCATTTTTGAAGTAAATCAGCTGCTTTTGAAATATCATCAATAAAGAGCTGAAAATTAGTTTAATGTGGTTTTAATTTAGTATTTTTTGTGCTTCGCCAAACAAGTCAAAACTAAAAACCATAAATACTGCCTAAATACTGATGCTCCTTGCTGGATGCTTACACACACTCGAGAGATAACTCCTTAGTACCGCCCRAAAACTTGCTAACAACATTTTTTACAAATTTTATTGATATTTTGTATTTGTTTTCATTTTACAAAAATACACTTCTATCCATGGTTCGAACTTATAAATCAGGTTTATAACACTGAATTTCATGGAATTACTCGTAAAAAAATGGGTGTTACAGCCAAACCTACTGAAGCGTTCCTATCGAGGTTGGAAGGCTCGATTTATTATTCCAAATTTGGTTTCAAATTTATATTTAAACGTGCAAAAACAAAACCGACAATGTAAATTTCAAATCTGACGTCGATTTGAACCTCGATTCCTGATTGGATTATTCCAAAAATAAACAGTACGTTGCATATTTCGAAAAAAAATGGCGGCGGTGAATAGTCTTCAGTGGCCGTACACCCCAGGAAAACCTTTATCGATTGCTGAAAGACAACACATTATACAATTATTTAACGGCGGACTCACAAAAACGGAAGTTTCTGAACGGCTTCGCGTAACTTTTCAGTGCGTAACAAACGTCATAGAACATTATCGTCGGTATGGCTCTGTCAATCCGTTAGGACATAGCGGTAAGCAGCCTGTTGCTTTGACATATGATATTCTGGAGGACATAGAGGTTTGGAAGCATCAGAAACCATCCTTGTATCGTCGACATCGTGAAACAACTTTTGGAATGCACTGCCGCGAACGAGTGAACGTCATTCCCGCGCTTTACCCAACATGAACTTCGTTTTATTATTGGAATAATCCAATCAGGAATCGAGGTTCAAATCGACATCAGATTTGAAATTTACATTGTCGGTTTTGTTTTTGCACATTTAAATATAAATTTGGAACCAAATTTGGAATAATAAATCGAGCCTTCCAACCTCGATAGGAACGCTTCAGTAGGTTTGGCTGTAATTGACCTAACATGCAGCCACTTGAAAAAACTTACGGAAAAGTCGGTACGTAAGTAATACAGCACACACAAAGCGTTTCCGTGATCAAAGAGTTGCGGCCGCGTTTTAACCKTTGGAGCATAAGTGATCCGAGGCAATAAATTACAAATGTTTCAATTCAATACGTTCCACCTGTACAACCACTCACTCTATTTCAATGATAATTAA